GGCTGAGGACTCTAGATTCATCAACTAAGAAGAGAAGGACTAAGAACTGGTGGCCAGGAGCAGACTTGCAGAATGTACCCTTTGGAGATGTAAATTATTATATATGCCTGAGTGGATTTTTTTGTTTGTATATTTTTTAAAAAGCTAAAGTGGATAGAGAAAAATACTGTTAACTGATGGTACATGGAGGGGATTATAATCAATGTAATGAAACAAATTATATGAATTGTTGAATGGGAAACTGATGATGTGCCTGTAAACTTTCACTCAATCCACAATAAAAACCTTAAATTAAAAAAAAAAAAAAACAGTGACTTTTAAGGGTATCTGCTGGGCCAATTAAATTCAAGACAGGTCAGCTCAGAAGATTATTGGGTATACTTGATGGATTTTTCTCAGAGGACACAAGATAATCACCGGGGCTTGTTTGGAAGAAGTTGTAAGAAAGTAAGAAATTGCATTGGTGAGAAAAGGGCCAGGAACTGTGGCAAGGACTTTTTTTTTTCTTTCATGACAGTAGACCTGCTCATTCTTAGAGGGTTGCATGGGCTGTCCTACAAGAATTTTAGTGGGAAACTTGATCCCGTCTATCCTACAGCCCTAATCTTGCCCCTTCAAACTCCTTTCTGTTCCCCAAACTCGGACACTGAAGATGGCTGTGCTGAGTCAAGCCAGTCAACAGTTCACCTATATGTCTCCTGTCTCACTACCCCTGTTGAGCTTCATCTCCTAGTTAAGTCACTTCTCTGTGCTTTTCTTTGAAGTTCAGGGTTCCAGGATTAACATCTGCATCTGTTTCATTTGTTATCTCCTAAGCATAGTGGTTACGAATCGGGCTGTGAACCTTAAGATCAGCAGTTCGAAACTACCAGCTGTTCTGCGGGAGAAAGATGAGGATTTCTGCTCCCATAAAGATTTACAGCCTTGGAAACCCTGTACAGGGTCACTGTGAGTCAGAACCGACTCCACAGCACACCACCACCATTTTTGTTGTAGAGGGTCTGTGTACTTGTGTCTGCCTAGTCCGTCATCTTGCCAAGAAGTCCTCCAAAGGACATTGAAAAGGAACACAATTGAAGTCCCTATATGGACTTGCAAAGTCATTTGAACTGCCAGATGAGTGGTTCAAGCTCACCAGCTGCTCCTTGGAAACCCTACACAGGGTCGCTATGGGTTGGAATCAACTCGACAGCACTTAACAACAACAAGATGCGAAAACTTCTGTTTTGACATGGTTTAAATAGAAGAGCACTGAATTCTTTGGGGAAGGGTTTGTTAAGTGCCATCAAGTCAGTTCGGACTCATAGCAACCCTGTGAAGGGTTTCCAAGGAGCAACTGGTGAATCTGAACTGCTGACCTTGCAGTTAGCAGTTCAGTCCTTACCTAACAGTGCCACGCTAGGTTAGAGAGATGGAAACACCACCTTCAGAAGTGTAGGTGGGGAGGATATGTTGAGAAACAAGTTTCAGATTTTGATATTTTTGTTTATAAAAGTTACTATAATTTTTTAGCAATACATTTTGACGTAACCTCCTATGCACTCTGATGAAGAAACACAACACCACCCATAATCAGGCCTAAGGGATCAAACAAGTCAGATCAAGTCTCTACCCAGCTGCCAATCTGTGAGAAATACTGAAAATGGCATGTTGGACTGCATCATAACTATGCAATCACAAAAGGCGGAATTTGGTAAACTAACTACAGGTCAAATGCCCCGGCTTCTTTAACAGATAACTTGTAAGAAAATATTTTAAATGGACAAGACTAACCTCAAAGACATGTAAATACAAAAGATCACATATTGTATGCCTATGGCCATCCAGTCGATTCTGAATCACTGTGACCCTGAATGGGATTTCTGTGACTGCAAATCTTTACAGGAGCAAACAGCCTCATCTTTTCACATGTGGGTGGGAACTACCAGCCTTGCAATTAGCAGCTCAATGCCTAGCCCACAGCGCCACCAGGAATCATATTGTATGGTTCCATTTATTTTTAATGTTTAAAAGAAGCAAATCTATGGCAACAGAGGTCTGACGGTGGTACCGTTTGTACTTGACTGCTAACCTAAAGGTTGGTGATTCAAAGCTGCACAGTGTTATTGGGGAAAATGGGACTGGTGATCTGCTCTTGTAAGATAACAGCCAAGAAGACCCTATGGTGCAGTTATGTAACATAGAAAGAATTAACTCAGTGACAACTAAACAAAATAACACTAACATGGAAACACAAATAGATTATTGATTGCCAAGGTCTGGGAAGAGGAGGCTTTCGGAATGATTGTAATTGGGCACAAGGAATCTTTTTGGAGGTGATAGAAATTTTAAAAAATTGGTTTGAAATAAAGATTGCATGACTGTACATTTACTAAATATTTAATAAGAAATAAATGTAAAAATGGGTAACTATGGTTGCCTAGGGACGTATGCTCGGTAATAAAGCTATAATAAACTCTGGTATAGTGGTTATTTTTGGAGGAAGAAAATAGAGTTATGATTTGAATGAGGCTTCTAAAAAATTGGTAAGTGGGTATTGATATTATATGTGTGTGTGGGGTTCCAGTTATTGTTTTGTTATATAATAAAAAGGTTTTTTGTTTTGTTTTGTTTTGTTTTGTTTTAAAGAACACAGACTTTTAAGCTCTTAGAAGAGTTTGTTGTTGTTGTTGTTAGGTGCCATCCAGTTGGTACCAACCCATAGCGACCTTATTATGCACAGCAGAATGAAACACTGCCCGATCCTGGTCCAACCTCACTATTGTTGCCACGCTTGAGTCCATCTATGCTGCCACTTGGCCAATCCATCTCATTGGGGGTCTTCCTCTTTTTCTCTGACCCTCCAACCTACCAAACATGATATCTTCTGCAGTGACTGGTCCCTCCTGACAATATGTCTGAAGTATGAGAGATGAAGTTTGGCCATATAGGCCTCCAAGGAGCACTCTGACTGCACTTCTTCCAAAACAGGTGTATTGGTTCTTTTGGCAGCCCATGGCACTTTTAATATTCTCCTCCAAAACCACAATTCAAAAGCATCAATTCTTCTACAGTCTTCCTTATTCACTCTCCAGCTTTTGCATGCATATGAGGTTATTGAAAATACCATAGCGTGGGTCAAGCGCACCCATAATTAATTTCTTATTATAGCTCTGAAAATATTTCTCCTGGACATGCTCAGAGTAATCAGAAAAAGTGCTATTTTGCCTTACAAATGAGCAACTTAATGCAAAACAGAGATGTGGCACTTAATTTCTTTTGGATGTACCCTGTATGGTAAATGCCATTTAGATCTTTGCAGGCATGTGCAAAATAGCAGGTATTCTTTCCCAGTAAATCCAACTGCCCAGGATTTTCAGTTTTACACACAAACATGTAACTATATGATTATAACACCTGGAGTCCCACCTCCCTGGTGGTGGTGGTGATGATTATGTGCCGTGGAGTTGGTTCCGACTCGTGGCGACCATGTACAGGGTTTCTGAGCCCGTAAATCTTTACAGGAGCAGAAAGCCTCATCTGTCTTCCGCTGAACAGCTGGTAGTTTTGATCTGCTGACCTTGAAGTTAGCAGCCTGATTCGTGACCACTATGCTACCAGAACTCCTAGCATATCACAAATTCATAAATATTTGTCATGTTTTTGTTTATCTGAGGTACTATTTGTTTTGTTTATTTGACCATTTCAACAATTGTTTTCCAAAACAATTCATTTTGAAGGACAACTTTTACCTGCCTTTGCCTTTTCCTGCAAACCATTCAGAGTATCCTTTCTTTTTTATTATTTAACATGTGATATGTTAAGTAATATATAATTACTTTACTCCTGGGCACAGGGTAGAAAACCACCTATGTTCCTTGTTCTCATTTTATGTGGTTGTGTTCAGAGTGGGACTGAAACCCCTGATTGCTTCTTAGCCTAACAATGTTAATTTCTCACTCCCACATTCTCATTTTTTCCACAGCTCAGCAACAGGAAGACCAGGAACAAAAGGAGGAAGACGATGATGAGAAAACACTGCACAGAGCCCGGGAGTGGGATGACTGGAAGGACACCCATCCTAGGGGTTATGGCAACAGACAGAACATGGGCTAAACTTCCCACCACAAGATGGGACTAGAGGAGCTCACATCTTCCCCTTCAAGGAAAGCTGTATGGTCTTCCCCTCCCTGGGCTCTTGCTTTGGCAAAGATGCTTCATCTTGCTTTGCATTCAGTAAAGTGTCAATTGATTGTGTATTTGTACCCTAGATCATGAGCCAACAATCATGGTTTGGCATTATCATTTGCATCATCATGTATTCCAATTTCTTAAAAGAAGTGGGAAAAAAATGAGCTCTTTGAGAAGTGGCTCTGTATAATCAATGGCTGTTTGAATATTCTTTTTAAAATAAAAATCCCTTATATGAGCCTCTGCAAAAGAATATGGATGTCCGCTGCTTTTGTGTATGCATGTGTGTGTGCTGGCAGGGATGAGGGTGGGGGGAGGTCATCTGTGAGTCCCTGGACTTAAGAAGACTACCTGGTATCTCCCTGTGATCTGGGCAGTGACTTCCCAATATCAGAATTGCCCATATTAGCTCAAGCTTTCTCCTTCCTTTTGGGCGTATTGGGTATGAAGCCTGTGTGAAATACTCCCAACACTGAAATAACACCATGCTTTACAATAGGAGAGCACAAAGGCTAGGACTTCATCGATCACACAATGCTGCTTTCAAGAATTAGTGCAGTGAGTGAATGCACCATAAATAGACATTGTTTCCCAGTCCTGTCTTACCTAGTCCTCTCCTTGCTCAGGAAGCATTGAACAAGTTTGAGTTGCTGAAAATTCAACATTTGTTGAAAATATGCTGCACTTAGATGTTAAGATCTATTAGTTGCCCTTAAGTTGGTTCCAACTCAGGACCTTATGCACAACAGAAGAAAACACTGCCCAGTCCTGTACCATCCTCACCAAATTTATGTTTAAGCCCATTGCTGCAGTCACTCTGTCAACCCATCTTGCTGGGGAATCTACTTCGTTTTTACTGACCCTCTTAAAGCTGCTGCTGTTAAGTGCCTTCAAGTCGGTTCCGACTTACAGCAACTCCTTATAGGGTTTTCAAGGCTGTCAATCTTTGTGGGAGCAGAAACCCTCATCTTTCTTCCTTAGAATGGCTGGTAGGCTCAAATCGCTGACATTGAAGCTAAGAGCTGTTGTTAAGTGCCATTGAGTCAATTCTGACTCATAATGACCCTGTATAGGGTTTCCAAGGAGCAGCTGGTGGGTTTGAACTGCCAACCTTTTGATTTTCAGTCCAGTGCTGACCCTACAGTGCCACACTAGGAGTCCTGTTGTTGTTAAGTGCCATCGAGTCGATTCCGACCTATAGCAACCCTGTATAGGGTTTCCAAGGATCAACTGGTGAGCTTGAACCACCGACGTTGCAGTTCAAATGGCTTTGCAGTCTGGCACATTAGGAGAGGCAAAAAAGGAATTGTTAAGTGCCATCGAGTCCGTCGGTTCCAAGTCATAGTGACCCTGTTTAGGGTTTCCAAGGAGTGACAGGCGAGTTTGAACCACTGACCTTGTGGTTCAAACCGACCTTGAAGTCAAGTGTTTATCCTGTGGTGCCACACCAGGACTCCAAAAAGAAAAAAAAGATCCCCTTAAATGAATAAGGAGTCCTGGTATGGCATAGGATAAACACTTGACTGCTAGCTGAAGTTAGCAGTTCAAACCCATGAGTTGCTCCTTGGAAACCCTATATGGGGTCGCTAAGGAGCTCTAGTAGTGTAGTGGTTATGAGTCAGACTGCTAACGTCAAGTTCAGCAGTTCGAAACAACCAGCCTTTCTGCAGGAGAAAGGTGAGGCTTTCTGCTCCTGTAAAGATTTACAGCCTTGGAAACCCTTATACAGGGTCACTATTAGCCAGAAACAACTCCATGGCACACTACCACCACCACCACGAGTTGGAACAGACTCCACAGCACTTAAAAAAATGAATAAGATAAAAATAAAAAGCAGGTGAAGTAATATTAGAGTCATGCTTGAGTGTTATTTGAAGCCAGGGCCATTCTCATGGAAATATTTGCCATAGTCCTGGTGAGCAGTAGCCTCAGACTAAAGCCAGCTCCTATATTATCCCCATAAACCATTTTGGCCTCTGTTCAGCCTGGACCTGGTAGCGTAGTGGTTATGAATCAGGCTGTGAACCGCAAGGTCAGCAGTTCAAAACTACCAGCTGTTCTGCGGGAGAAAGATGAGGCTTTATGCTCCCGTAAAGATTTACAGCCTCGGAAACCCTGTGCTGGATCGCTATGAGTCGGAACCGACTCCACGGCACTTAATAACAACAACAGTCTAGACCTGGCCTGGGTAACTGTGCAATAGTGGTCCATTTTTGCAAAGGATATGGACAGCACAGATGATACTGAAAGGTACCTACTTTCTGGAGTAGAGAGATGTCCTTGGCACAAGGTTGATAAAAAAGCATCCATGTGTTGAAACATGATTTGTATAGGAAACAAACTTGCTCTGTGTGGCTTTGGTACAGTTAGCTTTTCTTTAAGTGGAAGATGACTCACCCCTTCCTAGCTTCTACAGTCTAGTTTAGGAGAGGGGTTTGAAAAAGACTACCTTCCCTCCTTTTTAGGATGGTATGTGGAGGGCTGTCAGGTGATGAGTAGGAGGTTGTATTCAGTGGGAGATGACAGGAAGAAGACTACCAATAATATATTTTCATACGCTTAATGAAGGACTTAACTCACCCTCACAACATAAGCTCTGGAAACTGGTAGAGCACAGATAAAATTCCCCCAAGGATTTGGGAGGCAAACAGGTTTTTTGCTCTTCTGATTATTACCAAGCTGCCTTTCTAGCAATGCCTATTCCTTGCCCTTGGAACTCCACCCTGAATCTGTTCATTCCGAAATCTTGGACCAGGTTGAGGTTACCCCCTTGATCAAAGTCTGTTTAAGGATGGACCCTTGATTAAGCCCCCTCACACCTTCTGTTATCTACGAAGCAAACCAGACAAGGTGGGTTTGAATTCTGGCATTAAAAATTACAAGCTGTGTGATCTTGGGAAATACAGCTTCTCTGAATTGCAGTGTGTACAGTGTGTACAGTGAAAACAAGAGCTATCTCCTGGCGTTGTTAGAATGAAATGAATAATGGCAGCCATTGTAATAAACTCCAAAAACTGAGTTTAAGCATTTTCTGTTTGAGTTCAATAACTCCAGGCTGTCTACTAAGAGGGATATGAAATGGATAGGTGTTGGGTTGCTGTTACATGCCAGGCCCTGGACCTAGCACCCCATCTTGGAGTCCTAGTGTGGCACTGCGGGTTAATGGGCTGGACTGCAAGGTCTTTTTGAACTTCAAGGTGGGTGGTTCAAGCTCACCAGCTGCTTTTCATTCGCTATGAGTCCGAACCAACTCAACAGCACTCAACAACAATACCCCCATTTTACATATGACAAAACTGGCCCGGAGCTGAGTGATTTTCTCATGTTCTCGTTAGGAAAAAACAGTGCTTTTATCATTTTCCATGTGCTTCCTAATTGCTTGTACTTTTAGTTACATGGTGCTATGCTGGACTGCAAGGTCAGTTTGAAACAAAGTTGGCGGTTCAAATTCACCAGTTGCTCCTCGGAAACTCCATACAGAGTCGCTATGAGTCGGAGCCAACTACAGCGCTTAACAACAACAACAAAAAGAGGAAGGATGTTTTACAATCCAAACTAAAATACCATGGAGCTCTAGAAATTCCTTCCTAGCTGACTCATCAAAGAAAATGTTATGCTAGCTCCCTCACCATTCCCCACTCAACTGGAGGATGAAAACAGGAGGGAGGCAATGAGTAAGCCCACCCTTCTCTATTTTCTTCCCCAGGTCACTCTTAGAGACTTCAAGAGAAACCAAAAAAGAATCACCTTCTCTACTCCCAACATAGCGACGACTTTCAGGGTCCGAGAGTGAGCTGGATTTGGCGGACTCCAGGAAATGAGACTTCTTTGGGAGACAGATAGATGAGGCTTTCTGCTTCTGGGAAGATTTACAGCCTCAGAAACCCTATCCAATAGGGTCTCTGTGAGTCAGAACCCATTGGAAGGTACTCAACAACAAGAGGAAGTGAGACTTCTTAAGCTTTCAATAGGCAATACTCTTTAGAGTTTGCAAAATGGTTTCATATGCACAGCCTATAAGACAAAAGGATATCTTTATTTACAGAGGAGGAAACTGGCTAGGGGAGCTAGTAATTAGAAGGGCCTAGGCTTAAACCCTGATCTCCTGACTAGATGTACCGGATGAGTGCACAAACATATCAGTTTAGCCAGAGTACTTATCCTCAGTGCTTCTCACACAGAAGTTAGATTTGGAAAAGGTGAACTCTGGGCACTATTCCTTGTAATGCCTTTGCACAAAGATTTGTCCTTTCCACTCTTGTTCTTGAATGAGCTGATTTCAAGCCCAAGAACTTGTAGTCAGAGTCCTGAGTTACAGTTTCCATTCTCAGGGCTCTGCCACTTCCTAGCTGGATGTTGTTGTTGTCTCATGGCAACCCTGTATAGTGTTTCCAAGGAGTGGCTGGTGAGCTTCAACCACGGACTTTACAATTCAAACCAATCTTGCAGTTCAGCGCATTAACCTACAGCACCACACCAGGACTCCCCCTAGCTTGATGATCCCTAGCAAATTCTTCATTTCAGTCATTTAGAATAATTTGAAAGGGGGGAAACTTTTGAAACCAAAACCACCTCTCTGCATCATCTGAACTACAGGAAGTCCTCCTCTGCTTGTTCATCAATACAACAGGCATAGTGTAATGGATTCAAGTGTGTCTCCCACCTCCATATTCCCATATTAGGATTCAAATATGGGAATCCTAACTATTGTGCCTATGGGTGGGTTTTTGTTATGTTAATGAGGATGTATCAGTGTAAGATCTGTCCGAAACTCAATCACTTCTGTGTTAGACAGCATAAACATAGAGACAAGTGAGTACAAATGGGAAACGATAGAGGCAGATGAATCTACAAGCCTAAGAATTCCAAGAACTGCCAGCTAATGATGTTAAGAGCAACTGAGTTGGTTCCGACTCATAGCGACC